AATAATTATATTTTAACTCATTTGATGCACATCGTTGTGGGGGACGAATGAACTGACCTAGCGGGCCGTGGTTTGATAACTCCTGTCATAGATGCATCTCTTAATTGTACTGAGAATAATACGTAGCGGAGAGTTACATTATTTTCTTAATTACGTACAAAACAATTATATTAACAGTACGGTTCGAACTTCGATCGTTCGAAAAACAATGAATCATTCTGTCGAGATACTATCATTAATTTAATTAATTAAAATAACTTTTTGTACCTCCATTATTATTTTTCGGAATGGACATGATTTTCGTCTGGAACAACTATAAACACGAAATAAGTAAGTATCTAATAAATAGTTAATTATGCTTTTTGCAGTTATTTCACATCTGGAACAAATCGAAATCTAAATTTAATTAATTATTTATTTATTAATAATTTGCTTATTAATGAAATTATGATATTTATTTATTTTTATTAATTAATAACAAAAGTATAAATTCACTATCATCCAAAGTTTCTGTAGCTTCTTTCGATCTGCAACACAAGAGGATTTCTCTTTATTCACATATTTTCTGTTTTGCCGGTTGTAGTTTAGTAATGAAATTTGTAAATTAAAAAGTTAAACTACGGTAAAAGGAAAATGACGAAAGCTTCAAAGCGTTATTATTCCTCTTTTAAAAATATCTTAGAAAATACCCCAAAGAATAAATTCTTTATGAACGTGTACATTGACAACAAGTGCAATGCAACACACATGTTATTCGAAAAAACTACCGTGTTTGGAACAATGTGTATGACGATTATTTTTGTATTAAGACTACTTAAAGTAAATTTGAAACAAAAATAAAAAGAAAAACTGCAAATTTTATGAGGAAGCATTTCTCACTCACAGATACCTTTGCAGATTCGCAATTTTAATAAAATTTGCACGCAGGATATCTGTCTTTATTGACAACTGAAAATTACAGTGAACTGTAAGAGATTGCATTTGTAGTAATTAAATATTTGTCACGCAGTTGAGAATTAACCACTGTTGTGTGTGGCACGTAGTGTGGTGAAGTCCATCGTAGGTAGTAAGGTGTTAACAGGGACAAGCCACTATTTATTTGAGGTGAAGATATATATCAGTATTATACTTATGGAGATTATCTGTATTTTAAATTAGATAAATTAAACATATTAAAAATTTCAGCCCGGCATCATGACCACGTCGCAATAAATAATTACTCATTAATTTTAAGCTTTTTATCCTATTATTGATATCACTTTTATATAGGCCTAAATATGTTATTCATTTCTATCATTATGAATTTATAAAACCAAATTGTAACCNCAGGGGAAGCCACTACTAATTTGAGATGGAAAGCATATATTTTAAATGAAATAAATTAAAAATTGCAGCCCGGCATTGTGACCACGTCGCAATAAATAATTGCTCGTTAATTTTTAGCTTTTTATCCTAATATTGTTATCATTTTTAAATTAATAAAATATATGTTATTCATTTCTATCATTATAAGTTTACAACACCAAATTGTAACCACAATGATGCAGTTCACAACTTTTTATGTTCATAGTCTATTATAAAAGTAATACAGAACTAAACTATTTTCGAAAAATGCATTTCGGGTTATTTTTTAAATGGTAAACCCTGCATAAAGAATGAAAAGGAGCTAAGTAAACTCGGACACATATTTTACATTATTTACAGTCTTAACAAACTGAGATGCTACAGTGTAATTTATTCTATTGTAATTTGTAGAAACAAATTACAATACAATAAACTAGTTAGATGATAATTCTTATGAATGTGTTATAATCTATTTGTTACATTTATTTTAACGTTGTTTAACCTTTCTTATAAATACCTAAAATGTCCATTGCATTTTATATTTCTGACTAATCGTTATAAACAGTTTCTAAAAAATTACTTAAATACAGTATATTGTAAAGTTTATAATATTTCGTCTATTTATTAACATATTTTTTCTTGCTATTTATTTAGCTTTGTTTTGTTGATTTTGACCTGTTTAATTCCTATTTAATTAACAAAATAAACAATAACTACTATTTATGTTTACGGTTTAAATTATTGTTGTTTAAACAATTGTTTACATTATTCTCTGGCTTTAAAAATCTATAACATTTAATGTTTAAAATTTACCGTAAGGATATTTCTCTTGTTTAATTTTTATCCTCATATTATCACCTAACATTGTCTATCACTTACTTGTTAGCGTCAATTCTTTAACTTTTACTTTAATTTATTTTATTTAGTTTTACTTTCCTGGCTGTTCTGTATACGTAACAAGGAAGAATACTCAAATTTGACTCCGAGTGTTTTGACCAGGGTTTCTTAAACTTTTTTATTCACGATTTATGATTGTGATTTTTTCGCGACCCAAAAAGATATAAAATTTGCATAAACAATAATGATGTAATACCACAGTTTACTCTTGTGTTACAATGGAACAGAGACAACTGAATACACTGAAAAGCGACAACACTACACTATTTCACACTACAATCAGTGTTGCTGAATCGTTGTCTCGCTGCACCAGAAGTGACACAAAGCGCAACTCACAAAACCTATAACACAAAGCGTGCCATTTTAAAACTCTCAAATTATTTTCAATATTTTGCATTTTTTTTTTTTTACTCTTTTTGCCCTGTGGGCACTAAGAGGACCTGTTTTTGCAAGTCCATTATGGGTTCGGCGAGACCCACAATGGCGCTGCCGGGTGGTGAGGGACGGGGCCCGACATATCCAAACGGACCACCCCCGAAAAATTCCTGGGGATTTTACGACCCGGGTCCCCCAGAGCGGTAACTGCCACCTTGACCGCTCGGCAATCCGGCCGCCAATATTTTGCATTAAAATCTCGCGACCCCAAGATTTCGCTAAGCAACCCCAAACGGGGTCGCGACCCATAGTTTAAGAAGCTCTGGTTTTGACCATCTTTACGTTTTGAGACTTCCTGAACTCGGAAAAGTCAAAGAATGGTGAAAAATTCCGTGTGTCTATGTGTGTGCTGGCAACTGTTTCGTATATCTCGGGATGACTTAAAGATCAAGAAACGAAACTTGGTGCGATAGCTTGTGTATAGGGGACACGGATGAATGGATTGTTAGATTTACTGGTTAAGGTGGTGAGAGTGATGTGTCATATGTCATATCTCGAGAGACGACTAAACGAAGATTTTTCCAGTTATCAGCATTTGAAACTTTTTATAAAAACTCATCCTCATCCTCAAAAGTAAGCTTTTTGCCATTCGATAATAATTGAAAATATAAAAAGTTCTTTACAACAAAATATCGTAACAGATGGCGATACAAACGAACTATGTTTATTATGATTAATAAAATGAATGTTTTCCCCTAGACTTGAATAAATTTTATGAAAAAATAAAATATTACACATTAATAAGAATTAATATCAAACTATAATTTGTTTTCTATTACAATGTGTAAATCAATGGCCTTCAAAGTGGGGTAGCGCGTACCCCAGGTGGTACACAAAGTGATACTTGAGATATCCAAAGTTTCCTTCGAAATACTGTATGTGTGTCCTGTCCGCAGTCTTTTTAATCTTACAATTATTCTTCCGACGAAGTAAACTCACGATCACTCGCGATCATACAGGGAAAAATTCAAATTGCGGTTAGCAAAAAATTTAGCAAATTTTTTAAACAAATACAGGGTGTTTCTTTTTTAACTGATACTACTCTGAGACGTCTGTAGAGCAATCTAACAGCCGGACTGTCGCCAAATTTGGGAGTGTGACTAAGAACAACATGGGAAAGAGATTCCGTGAAGAAAAAAAAATAGTACCTAAATTTGCCAGTAGGGGTAGATTTGGCGCTGCTATAGCTAACAGCTAAGAATTTGCATAACGCGCTGGTAACACCTCAAAATCCAAATTCACAATGACATGGTCGACAGCAGCGCCACCTAATTTGAGCTGAAAAGACAAGGACAAAAGTCCGAAGCTCATTCCAAACTTCGGCAGAGTTCAACGTGCATCTTTCGTTACCTCGACATGAGTTGCTTGTGAAACTTTATTATCTTAACCAATCGAGCGCACCGGGCGCTCTTCGTGAGTTTAGAACCCGTAACAACCTGCGCAGAAGTCCTCTATCAATTAATGCATTGAAAGACTCGATAAAAAATTTGAAGAGACAGGATCCTTAGCAGTTTGGCCTAATAGAAGGCAAAAACCGGTGTCTGCACAGACAGTTAGCGATGTTGCGATTGCACTCGTTGAAGGTTCTAACCCCCGGATCTAACCCTATTAGACTTTTTCCTGTGGGATTACTTAAAGTCCAAGGTCTATTTTGGTGGTATCCCCAACTCGATGACCTTGAAAGACAATATTTCTCGAACTGTGATAAACATTCCTGCGGACATGTTACGTTTGGCCGTAGAGAACACGGTGTCCAGGATGCAATGTGTTGTCCAGCAGGACGGTGGTCACATTGAAGGAGGGAGAAGGTTATTTGCTGGTTAATTAAACTGCACCGAAACCTCTGTCTGATTATTCATTCGTGTGTTTGTTAATTGCAACTGGTTTTATGCAAATTCTTAGCTGTTTCGTTACAACAGCGCCAAATCCACCCCTCCTGGCGAATTTAGGTACTATTTTATTTCCTTCACGGAATCTCTTTCCCATGTCGTCCTTAGTCACTCTCCCAAATTTGGCAACAGTCCGGCTGTTAGATTGCTCTACAGATATCTCTGAGTACCATCAGTTTTAAAAAAAAACCACCCCGTACAATGACATTGCTTACATTAAATTCAAAATGTAAATTTTATGATGACGTTTATAACTAGTTTCCTGAATTAACACTTTTCTAGTAGTGCACATGTACAAACTTATCGGTGACTACTTTTAAAATATAATTAATATCTTATTAACAAATGTTTTCAAAAACGTTACATCCCCTCCCGGTTTCCCCTACAACTCCGTTTTTTACATTTGACTGTGGTAAAGAAAAATTCGATCATTTGCTATATCAACGGAGCAATCCGATTGAGAGTCATTTCGACGAAGAATTCGGCAAGGAAACAAGAAAATGATAAGGTGTAACCTACAATAAGCACAGTAAATGGGCCAAACAAGTCTTGTAGAGACAAAGGTCTCCAATCATTCGACGATTTTAGTTTTGATTCGACAAAAGTATTGCCAGAGAATTCAATATTGACTCCAGTTTCGAACAATCTTCTGAGTCTAAAGATTAATTAATTATTAAATAAGATTAGTGCTTCTATTGATACGTAAAGAGAAATGTTAAAGTGTACTTACAATTTGTCGATTTTATTTTTATGCGGAAATCCTTTTCTCATCATAAGTACCACATTACTTGTGGAAAGAACGTCATCGGATACGAAATATTCGTCGTCGGAACCCATGGTGAGGAATTTTATTAAATCTGGTGAATTGATAATCGCCACTTTTCTTGTTTTTCCAAATATTTTAATATACATTTTGAATATTTCGGCATATACTGCATTGGCTTCCAGGCCTTCCGCATTTCTAAATTTAATATACAAATTTGTATATTTTTCTTTTATTTCAGCATCTTCTTTTAGTTGATTACTCAAAAACTGTCGACACGAATTAAAATGTTTGGCCAAGGTTCTGATGTATCCGATTTTCGATTTCTGTAAAGATTTCAATTCCTATTTCAAGTGATAAAGTAAATTTTTAATAAGTGTAAAACTTGTTATTGATTTATTGATTGATTGATTAATCTAAATATATAAAATTACTTGTCCTGACTGACTGAGTCACTGATTCATCATCGCCCAGAGCAAACTGCTGAACATAAAGAGGTGAAATTTGGTACACAGTTAGGGTATGTCATGAAAACGGACACTAAGAAGGGAATTTTCGAAATTCCTCGCTTGGGGGAAAGAGAGAGCATTAAGGCTTAACCAAAAAAAAACGGCTTTTACTGTACTATTTTAGAGGCGATTTTTTGTTTTCAACAACGTTTTGTCTTCATCGAGTACTTAGGTGTATTAAATTGATAACATTTCACACATTGTTATAAGTATTTTTTATATATTTCGATTTTTTAACCAAATGTTCGAACCGTTTTAAATTCGAATTTGTTATTGCATATTGTTTCGATTATAGAACGATTGTTAAACGTTCGAGAAAATTAATCAAATTGAAAACAGTTCGTTTGATTTTCAGCAATTCTTATTATTCTCAGCGGTAGGTGTTATATAACAATTACTATAGTTGTTGAAATACTGAATATAGATGGGGTTTGCTTGCAAAACTCCCGCGGACGAAGTCGCGGGTAACAGCTAGTCAATTTATATTCTAATTGTAAGTTTTTAATAAAACTGGAATCTAGTTTAAATAATAATTTGGTAGTTTTTTTTATCATTGATTATTGTTTCAAATCGTAGAAAAATATTAAAATTTAAAATTTGATTAAACTATCGTTTCGGTTTGCCCATTTTTTCCAATATTGAAAAGTTCATGAAAAAAGTTTTACCCCATAATAACCAATCCAAGTAATTTCGTCCCTTCTCTTCAACTTCCGGCGGGATGGGCGACCCCACCGACCCAATTTAGCTTGCTTTGTTCACTGCTTTAAAATTATAACAGTAATCCTTTACATATTTTTAAATTAAATTTTAATTTAGTTTATATCTATTAAACTAAAATGAAGTAATCTGCAATAGATTACTTCATTTTAGTTTAATAGACTGCAGACTGCATATTCCAACTGTTAGAAAAAAAGAGAGCGACCTCAGAGACCGAAATGGGTCTACTTGTCCGGATTCGGACATGTAAAACCAAGGCCGTGCGGTAGATTTTCTAAGTATAATGCAAGTCTTTGAAATTCTGCCCCTTAAATGTTTTTTATGCCGCCCCCTCACGGTGCCGCCTGATGCGGCCGCATCTCTGCATCATAGCACGGCACGGCGCTGTGTAAAACTTTAGAATGTTCGAGGTGGTCCTCTTCGGCTTCATTCTTCCCTTACGAATGTCTTATTGTGGGTGTAATCGAATCAACTTTGGCATCGATAAAATGCCATCTTACTACCCATAGGATGAAAAGTATCAAAATAACTCGACGTCTTAATAATGTGTGATATTATTTCATTATTAGCAAACCGAATGTATACATTGTAAGTGGTAGATTGCAGGAAACAGTATTTTCAACAGCATACTTGTATACCGGGATGAATTGGCCAAAAATTTTTGTATGGTCATTTCGAATGTTTTCAATCAATGAAACCAGAAACCTTAGTTAAATTTGGCATAGAAAAGAAGAGGATAAGGGAAAAACGCGATACACCTCATATCATTTTTAAATATCATAGTTTTGCTTATCCGAAACAACTTTGACAGACATTTATATTAAACACACATTCAATAGAATTCCAAAGCTATATTAGTGTCGCTAACAATGCCCTTCTAATTTTTTATCGGGTTATATTGTTGCACTCTCGCACTAGTATTAAATTAATTGCTGTTTAAATCGTTATTACTGTTCTTTAGTTAATTCCCTGAACGCAGATTCTTTTGCATATAGAAAAAGCACTGATAGGTTTTTCAATTTCGCACGAAGTTTCTTTCATTTGTTTTCTGTTTAATCATTCCCAGTGTTTCCAAAATACAATAACCATTACGTGTATTCGTAAGTCGGAAGAAAATTCTAACCGATATTGTTATTTCATTAAACCGGATTACTTTATAAAACAACTTTATACTTACATTTAAGTTTAGAATATAGTTAGGGTCGTCAATAAATAAGCAGGTATATTCTTTTCTTTCAAGGGCAGCAGCGAGTTGTTCTAGTGTGGTGGGCACGGGTTCGTTTATTTGTACGGCCAGCGACGACGACAATACACCACTGTAACCCCATAACAGAATACTAATCGATAACACCCACATTACAAAACATATTCTGGACGCAAATCGATTGATGACACTCATGTCGACTCCTGTAACGATTGAAACTCCATATAAACTTCGCCAACGAATTGTCATAAATCGTATCGACTTACCTTGGTTAGTCATAGTGGTGAAGAGAAACCAGTATACACTCGCTACGGGCCAAGGTTTATCGGCTTTGTCTTTGATGACCCAACGGAAATAAAATCCAAACAGTAAAAAGGAACTCAATACAGCTAGCCACACCTTTATTAAATTCGTATAAAACAAAAATAATAATTGCAATATTTAAAGGGATTCTAAATTTGACAGAGGAAAAAGGAAATTTACCTGTAAACGAAGGGCGTTAGCGATTGTATGCCATCCAATTTGATGCTTTCTCAGTTTTAAAAGGAAAGTTTTAGGTTTTATCAAAATAGGAACTGAAAAATGCACATCGTGGTAATTGTCGAAACTAAGTTCGGAATATGTTAACGAAATATCAGCCTCCTGTAAAAATGAATCATGAAAAATATCGTTTATACAAATAACTGCAATGAATATATCGATAAAATATATCAACGTATTACGGAAAAGACTATATTTATATTACAATATAATTCGTAATACGTTGGTTACAAATTAATAAAATAAATAAATAAATAAATAAGCAAATAAATTAATTACTCAAATATTAATAAATTCACGATGACGTTTAATTGTAAGACATAAGACTTGTTACCTTAGACTCCAGACACGATGTTTTCGAAAGAATCGACGTGAGTTCTTCCGACTAAATTTTAATTTTTAATAATTGTCTTTTTTAGAGGCTAAAAATTGATAAGATTTTAGTAAAATGCGAAGTTTGTTCTATTGCTTATTATGACGTGCCTTATTTTGCAGTAATTCCTAAATAAATTCTAAATGCTAACAACATGCAAATTTGCTTGTCATTAGCATTTGAGATTCACAAAATATTCATTAAGTTTATCCGCATTTTAGATGTGACCCACGATATTTTCTTTCTTTCCGATTTCTATGATCTACCACCTCAAAAAGTTAACCGAATCAATGCCTTGTATATAAAAATAATTCTGGCAAATTTGAAAATTTATGGTTCATCCAGTCCAGAAATATGCAAAATGCACGCGTACTTATTTTTGTAACATTTTTTTTTTCTGTTTTTTTTTTTCTTTAATATTTTTGGGCTTGTGCAGTATTAAAACGTAGGGCAAAAATATGACTCATTAGTTAGTTCCTCTGTGTTTTATATAATTTGCAATAAAATAAACAGATTTGTTCGTTGATACAGAAACAAAAAAGTAAAAGCAGAAGAACTAAATTAATAAATACCTTATTTATTAACTGTGAAATTTCAAAACTTCGTCCATTTCCAGAGAATTTGTTGAGGTCTTCTCTTGACACGTTTGCGTACACGCAACTGAAAATATATAATTATTTTTATTAAGAGGTGATGAAATGAAAGTTGGCCATTAAAATGTTAATCACCACTTGTTGTCCTGATGTTGCCCGTGTCACACCTCCCTCATAACTGCTCTGCACCTTGTAGTAATGCCACCTTCAAACTCCGTCTTACTACTGTTATGATATGTACAGTAGATATAATTTGTTTTGTATAACATCATTACCTTATAATTCCGCTAATTAAAATACTGTTTATAATAGTAACTCTTACGTCAAACTACCGTGTAACATTACGAAGCCGCCATAATACTTTTATAACGGTTGCTTTTTCTTGTATAATTTTAAGTACAGTAGATCCCTATAAGATGGTAGATACGTTCCGTTTTTTATAAATCAATTTTGTAGGAATCACAGCAGTAGGAATTGGCTGTTTGAAAGGTTTTCTTCCATAAAATTAATCGATTCTAGACTAATTCGACTCAACATTTCCAAAATACGTATATTTTTTTGGAAATAATCCGTATAAACTACGTTATAAACAAAAAATTGTAGGATTACTTACCGAGTGTGTGCCGTTCGACTATGCCCGTTGCTAAAGCTTGTTTTCGTCGCGGAACAGCGCATCAAACGGCGGCCGCGATTTCTGACATTATTTTTCTGCGAAAACTTCGTTGAACTTTGGAGACATCATTAATATAAATAATTTTAATGGCCGTTGAATAAGAAATGTTTCTTTCACAAGAAATGTATAAAATTACAGTACTGGATAGACGATAGGTCGCCTAACTCGCCGTAGCGTGACGCTAGACGGCGAAAAATATATATTTAATTATAATAAAGTTACAATAAATTAAGTTAATATATAATTATATATATAGTACCTAATTTATATATAATTTATATATAATTATATGTACAGACGATACTAAACTCAATTTATTTACCTAAAGTGTCCGTAGCGTGGCGCTAGACAGCGGAAAATAGTTCGGCTGTCCGATGACGTTTTACGTAATTATAGGAGTTATTTTTATCGTTGTTTACGGATACCGCCTCAATTTTTTCGCCGTTTTATAGGAATCGTAATTATAGGAAACAGTTTTATAGGCGGATCTACTGTATTGTATCTTTTTTATATATATGTTACCGCTAAAGTTCGAAACTCGTTAATCTGCAGATTACCTAGCTAATCTGCAGATTAACTAGGGTGATCTGTTAAAGTTGCTAAAATTGTTCTATTTCTCAAATTACCTAGGTAATGTGCAGATTATCTAGGTAATCTGCAAACTACCTACTAGGCACTCGGTAAAGTGAAAATAAGATCTTTGCTAGAACAGCAACGTTTCTGTACGCTTCAATTAACATAATGTTGTTTATTTAATTTTCGATATTTAAAGAATCAAGTTAATACAATCAAACAATCAACAAATTAGTTGATAGAATCAATCATCAACCAATTAAAAAACATACAAAAAATCAAACGGTTTAAAATATTAATACAATTAGGGAAATTATTATGAAGATAATCACCTATGAAATTTCGGGACTTTCTGTATCTATCTGAACTGAGGGGACCGAGACGACTTCAACGCTACCTTACTTTTAGACCGGAGACGAAAAATAATAAAGTTATCATTCTTTTTCTGGTGATGGCTTGATATAATTGTGCAGTTAATGTTACCTATGTTGAGTAAAATGGTGGTTCGTCTCTGATTCCAGCAGAGAGAAGAAAGGAAACAGTGGGGACGCACGTTCTAACCTCACCTAACCTATTCTAATAAATTACCATAATTATTACCAACCAAATTATTAGAATAGGTTATGTTAGGTTTGAACGTGTGTCCCCACTGTTTCCTTTCTTCTCTTTGCTGGAATCGGAGACGAGCCGCCATTTTACTCACCATAGGTAACATTATCCAATTGTGCTTACTTAATAGTGCAGTCTAAAGATTGGTGACACTTTGAATTTCATAGCAATTGGTTTTTGCGACAAGCACACTTATTTGTGGCAAAGATCTTATTTTCACTTTACAGAGTGCCTAGTAGGTAATGCGCGGATTACCTAGATAATCTGCACATTACCTAGGAAATTTGAGAAATGGAACAATTTTCACAACTTTAACGGATCACCCTAGTTAATCTGCAGATTAACGAGTTTCGAGCTTTAGCGGTAACATATATACCAACTGAAGAAGGAGTATTCCGATCGTCCGAAATGCATTTTGGTTATTTCGTGTTAATTACTCGTGTAATCGATTGTAATGTACACCCCTTCTCATTTTTATTAAATGTACTGTACGCCATTGATACCAGGGTGTTTTTGCTTATTATTACTGGTGTGATAAGTCCTTATTATCTTCCTCATATTAGTAGATTTTTTATTAAGTTAATTATACCAAGAGCTAAAAACAATTTTTAAATTACTTTTATGTTTAAAATAACGTAAAAGTGGCACTATCACATTAAATGTCACAATCTATATTAAAACACTTACAGAAACTTAGAAGTTGGCGTCACAATCGAACAAACCTTTTATGGCGCCAACTTGACGACGATGATAAAAATAAATTATAAAATCATAAAGAAAGACATAATTTCCTGCGAGACTACAATACAGTTTTAAAAAAAAAAAAAAAAAAACCTTCTCTGGCTCGTAAGACCTCCTCTTGCCTATACAGAAGCACAGTTTGTTTGTCTATTCGTATTCGATAACAAGACACGTGAGCAATCTGCCGAGTGGGAATGCCTCCCGGCAGAACTTTGGTTTGGAATCTGGGCCCTATTTTGGTGTCACTAACGTGAAAACCCCCGAAAAATGCTGGCTGGCCAGCAGTGATAAGTTACATCCACTCGGTCACCGCAGGGCTTTAGAGGAATCTCTCGATATTTCGAAGCAGGAACAAGCACAACGTCGCGGGCACGAACTTCCCCAGATTGATAAACAACGTCTTATCTGGTCCATAGAGTGACCGATCCACACACCGTGCATGTCAAAAAAGTGATAATTCGACAGAAACATTTTCACGGCACTCTAGTTGTGTGCAACCGAGCATTATATAAAAGAATCTCGTTTCAAAAGATTGCTCGGAAGCCGAAAATCATCCGTTGTTACGTGAATCCGTTATTTCGCGAACAACGGATTTCTCGCCCACCCAGGAAAATATCTGTTATCCGAAAAAATTTTCGTTTCCAAACCCCTACACGTAAGAAATACAAGTAATTGAAATTATTCGTTTTGTTGAGATTTCAGTTTTTTATTCTATAGAAACACGTATGTTTGTAACGTACGAGTACGTTATGTCGTATGTGATTATATATTATGACATACGTATGTACTGTACGACAAAGCTGACGAAAGCTATACATACTCTAAGTACATAAAAGTCAAATTACATATACTCGTCAGCAGTTTCACTTCACGATTTGTTAAAAAAAAGTTCATCTTGTTTTCTTTCGATGCCGCTTTTCTGTATACTGTAATTGACAAACATAGAGAACGCTTCATATAATCTTACCTGGCATTTAATGTTTTGTAGATAAATGACGTAAATTCCTTGCTATGTCCAAAATATAGTTCTTGGCATGATAAGTTGAAATAAAAAGTTGCCTGAAATTAAAAGTAATAAGATTTTATTTTGTGGTATGATTATCGTTACATTAATTACATTAATTAGCTTTATTTATACTGAACTTTCGGTAGAATAGTTTTGATTTGCTTCTAAAAATCTGGATTTACAGAATATGGCACTTGCCGAATTAAGAAAGAAATTAAAAGAATTTGGGAACGAGGCATGCTCATTGTCAGTGGAGGTCTAATGTGTTTGCTGACTCCCCTCTTTCCTCCATTCATGATTATAACAAGTCACAAATTTGGGCTCCCATTGATGTTTATGCTGTTATCATAAAAGATATTTTTAAGCTTGAATTCTGTATTTATTATATAAAAAGAAAATTCAAGCTTAAAAATTTATTAATGTACTTGGAAGTGGTTATATAGCATCTAGTGAATGAGAAAAAAGCAAATGATGTAGAATAGTGATAATATATAACTGCTTCCTATATTGTGTTTACATTTGCATTGTTAAATTTTAATAATTCATTCAGTTTTTTTCAATTAAATTCTTTCCACCCTTGTGGNGTGACACTGAATTTCATAGCAATTGGTTTTTGCGACAAGCACATCTATTTGTGGTACATTTATTTGTGGCAAAGATCTTATTTTCGCTTTACGGAGTGCCTAGTAGGTAATGTGCGGATTACCTAGTAGATAATCTGCACATTACCTAGGTAATTTGAGAAATGG